AAAGGCTGTCCGGGCACACTGTTGGCTGGAATTCTCAGAAGTTATTGTGGCAGCTACTCCATTCCTAAATTGTTCTGCACTCCTTTGCTCAAGTAAACTCTTACATTTTACTGGTTGAAGGAATTCCTCTTTTAGGAAGAATTCCTCAGTACCTAGAGTACTTAGAAACTACCAGAGGAAGCAGCAGCATGATTTTCAGAATGCAGGGAGAGAGGAAGATGAAGGAAGTATGGATGGTCACTTGCAGTTGTGATCTGGAAGGGCAGCAGGAGATCTACTTAGAGCAGAACCTTGGGAATCTTGTAACTGATGAAGAACACAAGGATCACACTGTATATATGTGTGTGTGTGGGGGGGTACTGTGACAGGTACTGTGACACACGAACCCAGAGCCTCACACATTATAGGCAAGCATTCTACAAACTAAACTATACCTCCAGCCCTGGAGAGATTTTTAAAGTCAATTTCTTTTCCTAATTTTCTTTGAATTTTATAATACATTATTAAAGACAGCTTTTCTGTTTTCTGAACATGTGGACAATAGGTTAAAAAATTAATTTCAGTAGGTGGTAATGTGCGCTGCCACCAAGAAGAAATCTCAGTGCTACGGTTAAGTTCAAAGGTTTCAAGCTTCTGGGAATATGCATTTGTGTTGTTCCAGGGAGAAGTGTAGAGTGATGTGATGGATTGAGAAGGCTACCAGGAGTACTATACAGAGGACAAATGTGAGGGCTTGGTACTTGGTGAATGGTGCTGCCAGTGATGTCATTGGTGGCCCTGGCTATGGCTAGGTGACTGACAGAAGCAATGAGAATCCTTTCTAGGGTTAGCTCACCTCTTACTGAGTATCTTACAAACTTCAGCCATTCAGATCTGCATTCAGAAGCATGTGTGTGTGTGTGTGTGTGCACGCACACACACACACATGCGCATGCATATGCATGTGTGCGCACCAGTACTGTAGTTTGAACTCCTGGCCTTGTAATCTTGCTTGGCTTTTTCACTCAAGGCTGGTGCTCTACCACTTGAGCCACACCTCCACTTCCAGCTTTTGCTGGTTAACTGGAGATTAGAGTCTTACGGATATTTCGCGCCTGGGCTGGCTTTGAACTGCAATCCTCACATCTCAGCCTCCTGGGAAGCTAGAGTTACAGGTGTGAGTCATGGGTGCCGAGCTCCGCATTCAGGATTTTTTTTCACACATTCACATTCCATCACTATTATCCACTTCATATTTTTCTGTAAATTAACTTACGTTTGAAGTTAAACGTGCTTCTTATATCTGTTCTAAAAGTCATTGAAGTATGGACAATGATTGAGTCTGTTTGGATACTATTGGGTACCATTGGTGTCCCACCACATGGCAAACCATGAGGATGGATACATCAACAGTGGAAGTTATGGTTTACCTCAGAAGACACAAACACTGGACTCTAACTGGAATAATCACTTGAACAATAAGAAAAACCTTAGGACTTTGCTGGAACATACATGTCATATATTTATCACCATGCCTCAATGACTCCTTTGCTACTGTAGTAGCTCTTAAACATCTGTCTTCTGTTCTATTTCTCCTGACTCTTATCCTCACACCAGATGTTCTTAGCTACAATGTCAGGGGAAATACCAAGGAACAGCACCTTGTACTTCCTGCCTGCTAGTCCCACATTTTCTTCTGACAGGGAATGGAATCCCTTTTCTTTCTGAAGCCAGCATCCTGGCCTGGTTCTCTCTTGAGGCCTTTCTCTTTCCTTTACACTGCTATCTTCAGTTTTCCCTGCTTCCTTCTAAGTCCACAAACAAAGTGCTCCTCCTATGCCACTAAGTAAAAGCCTACAACCCTCCTCTTCCTCAGAACCTTTTTATTTCAGTCCATCATCGCAAGAAGTCTTCACCCATGGTCTACACAATTGCTTAGACTTTAACTTTAACCAGCCTACTACTCCTCAGCTCTGTCAGTACAGTTGTTCAGGAAAGAAACCAGGCTTTCAGCACTGCTGACGTCAATAACCCCTCTGCCCACAATGCTATGCTGCAGACGTGCTGCCTGTGGAGTCTGGAGCCCCTCCTAAGCCTGCAACTCTACTCTTCTTGGTGCCTCCTGAATTTCTCTGTCTGCTTGTGGTGAGGTTTCCTGCTCCCTCCAAACCAGAAAATAACAAACGGGACATGGACTTCCTGTCCTGTAAGGCCCCAGGAATCAGAAGCTGCCACACAGTATGTAGGACCACAATGGGCACAGAGCCCATCAGGTGGTGAGAAGCTCTGCTCTAAAGATACATTCAACCTGATGAATCCAGAGTTGTGAACACTTACATGACTACTGAACTCTCTTTTTGAGGAAAGGGAGAGGTAAAAACTTCTGATAAATTTAAGACTTGGAGTTTCTTGATCAGAATCCACAGCCCTTTCTGCCCATTCTGTCCCTAGAGTAGCCAAAGCAGCACTTAACTACTGGATACCTTGGTCCAAATACTGGTGTGCTGCATGCATAACTCACACTGGGTTTAGAAGACCTATTTCAAAAATATGGTGTGGAATATTGCATTATTAGTGCTGGGTGTGGTGGCTTAAGACTGTAATGTTCAAGGCCAGTCTGAGAAAAACAATGAGACTCTATGCCAAGCAATGTCTGGATGTGGTGGTATTACTATCATCTCAGCTATGTGAGGAAGCACAAAATACGAGGACTGCAATTAAGGCCAGCCCAGACATAAAGCAAGACCTCATCTAAAAGATAATATAGCCAGGTTTTGAACCGTATACCTCAGATCAGTCTCCTGAGTAGCTAGGATTACAGGTGTGAGCCACCAGCACCTGGCTTCAGATATGTTTTCTAAGTAGGTAGAATTAAAAGCATTAAGCCATCATGCCTGGCATATATATATATATATATATATATATATATATATATATATATATATATATATTTAACTTAGGTATTAGAATGTCTCTGAAGTTATATATATATATATATTTAACTTAGGTATTAGAATGTCTCTGAAGTCTATACAATTCCTGACGGTGATATAGGTAAGTTTTAATTCCCAATAAAATCTTTTGGTAATAGCATTTTAGTTCTGATGATGAATGTAACTGTTCAACTGCTGCATGATACAGAATGAACTATAGCTTAATTCTGACAGAGAAAAAAAATAATATAGCCAGGTGCCGGTGGTTCATAATCCTATAATCCTAGCTATTCTGGAAGCTGAGATCTGAGGATTGTAGTTTGAAGGCCACCTGTGCAAGAAAGTCTTTGAGACTCTTATCTACAATAAATTACAAAAAAAGTTGGAAGTAGCACTGTGGCTGAAGTGGTAGAGCACTAACGTTGAGCAACAGAATCTCAGGGACAGCATCTAGGCTGAATTCCAGCCCCAGAACTGGCAAAAATAAAATAACTAATACGGCAGGGCACCAGTTGCTCATACCTCTAATCTTAGCTACAGAGATCTAAGGATCACAGTTTGAAGCCAGCCACGCAGGAAAGTCCAAGAGACTATACAAATGGAGGCATGGCTCAAGTGGTAGAGAAATGTGACAGAAATGTGACTGAGAATGCCCTGAATTCAAACCCCAGTGAGAGCACACACATACAAAATAACCAACAGAAAAAGGGCTGGAAGTGCAAATGAAGGAATGTGTGTGTGTGTGTACATGTGTATCTATCTCTCTATCTAAACTTTTTTTGGTGGGGGGGAATACTTGGTACTGGTGCTTGAACTCAGGGCCTTGGGAGCTGCTCCTAAGCTTTTTCACTCAAGGTTCGTGCTCTAGTACTTAAGCCACAGCTTCAATTCTGGATTTTTTTTCTTTTTTTGTAGTTAGAGGTAAGAAAGAGTCTATGGGCTTTCTTGCCCAGGCAAGCTTCAAACTGTGATCCTCAGACCTTAAACCTTTTGAGTATTAGGATTACAGGAGTGAGCTATCAGCACCTGGCTGGAAATTTAAATATACTAAGTAAAAATATTGGTGGGATTAATATCACCTGCTTCTTTTTAAAAAGGTAACTGCTAGAAAAATTTAAATTACATGAGTCTGTATTTGTGACTCATGGATTTCTATTGAACAGTTTGTGCTAGCCACTATACATTTCCTCCCACTCAAAATGTGATCAATGGTTTCTAGGCAGAATGAAGTCCTACCAGCAGCACAGGGTCCACGGGGCTTCAGGCTCACCCAGCCGCAGTCTAACTTTCCAGCCTCCACTTTTCACACTGGCCCTAGGCTCAGTCCCCCTAATCTGTCCTATACACTTCCAATGCTGTTTTGTCTCTCTTCCTGTCTACAGCTTGTTCTCCATCTAAGTACCTCCTTTGCTTTCCCTTGGTGTCTAGTAACTATGCATTGCTGTGCTTAAATGCTATTTTAAAGAAACCTGGCTGCTTATGTCCCGATGGGTAGTACACAAAGATTTGTACTACCCAACACCAGAAGCCCTTACACTTGTTTTGGTATGCCCAGGACCTAGTATTCTGTGGCCTCAATATATGTTCACTAGGTAACTTTTCAGAGGTTAGGAAAAGGGTACTTATGCTAGGCATCAATAGTTTAGGTTTTGATCGGATTTTTCTTGTCATCAACTTTGATGCCAAATGCTAGAAATAGATGCTTATTTTGCTCTAAAGACTTTACATCTGCAGTAGTTATTTATTTGTAAATTTCTTCTAATCTTGTTAGAAACAAGTTATAAATAAAATTATAATTAGTATGTTATATCCTAGATTAATTACCTTTTACCTTTGTAAGCAACAGCATATTGAAATAAAAAGTTCTTCTACTTTCAAAGTACATGATTATGTCCTATCAAAATCATCTCAAACTTGGCCACTTAATATTTCCTTTGCACTCTGTGATATAAAATTATTACCTGGCCTTTACCCAGAGACCACATGAAGAAAAAAGAGAAATTCCAAACACATTGAATCACACCTAAACATGAACAAATGAAAAGTAGGTTTTACAGGATGCTTCAAAGAAATACACAATACAAGTAATGTAGTTTGTGTCCTTTTAATAAACACACTTGCATAGTTATATTACAATTTTGTAAAAATAAAAACAGATTATCTCATGCCAAGCGTGCCCAGCATTTGCACAATCTCAATACCTTTAATACTATACTTTTCAAGACACACAAAATAAAAACTTAAGGCAAAACAGCACTTTGAGACAATTTAATAATTTATTACATTACAGTAGCATTACAGCAGCATCCAATAATGCCACTTTAGGCAAAGGTCTCTCAGTATTTCCATTATAGATTCTATTTACAAGGATTCTTGGCAACTAGGGTTGGCATTTCTTTACTTTTCCTTTCCTCAGTTTCTTTTTTTTGAACTACCAGTGTTCATATTGTATTTCAAAACACTAAAATGTTGCCATATATTTTTTAATACTTGTACAATTTAGAAAGGACTAAAATTTTGGAGAGACTATTTAATAGATAGAGTTGACTTCAATTTTCAAATTTTCTAAAAATTAGCTTTGGTTTCAGAATTGTTTTTCACAGCTGGAAAACCCAACAAATTTAATCATACGCTTTAACAATTTTATCACACACTACTGTCTTTAAATAATGAGGCCTTTTCATTCTCTACTTTTAATACAGTTCAAATTTATTCAGTTGTATCTCATTTAAAAATTTCCATACTTCTAAAAAATTCTTTTTGTCTAAGCAAGTTGAAAGCTGCCCTACACTGAATCAAGAAGAGAACAAATTCATGGCTGAATGAGGTACTGCAAAGGATTACATGCACTTCAAAGGATTTAAATGATTATATGTCATAGTTTGTTTTTAACCTTTCTCTCAAGATATATGATGAAATTCCTATGCAAAGAGTGGTATTTCAGATAACACAGTAGCGTTTATTTTTCAGATTGACATTCAGCTTAAATATTGGGCCAGTATGTAATTTAATCTACAGGTACTTGATGAACACATCATTTTCAGATTGATTATAGATGATAAGCTCAACCTGAATGTCATTCTTAATAATCTATTTTCATCATTGTAAAAGTGAAGTGATTTGAGCTATAAAAACACTTTTGAAATAACTTATCATTAGATAGATAAGCCCAAAGGAAAATTGCTATGCAAAATGTGGTATGATTTCCAACCTCAGTATTTAAAGTAACTGTCTTTATACTGAACTCAACTAAAGGTTAAAAAGCATAAAGTTAAAAAGAAAGGCAAGACTAGGTAATCCATATAATATGGAAAAGTCAGTTTTGAGAAAGGACTTAGTCTTCCTACTGTTCTTTTAGTGACTGCAGGCAAAGATGTCATTCTACCCCTAAAATGGTATTATTGCTTTCCTGTTCATGTTATATTTGTAAAATATCATGATGAAGGCCAGTGCTAAAAATGGAGGTGGTATAATAATTAGAGATCCCTTCCCCAGGGAGCTCATATACATAGCTCCCTATATTCTAAAATTGTGAAGTATTTTGGAACAGACATTTGAACTTTGTAAAGATGTAACTAAATTGTTGGTTCTCTCTCAAATGTTGTAAAGTTAAGAGTTAGGCAATAAATGACTGAAATAATCCATTCGGAATATATAGGCACATTAAAATAAATATTGCACAAAATACTCCTCTAACTTAAACTGAGAGGTATAAAAACATATTTCATTTTTCCAAAAGAATTCTGTGAGGAAATAAAACTGTGAATGTATGTACACTTACCCTGATAATACTTAGACATTCACAAACAGTAGATTGCACTGCAGTTTGTAAACATTTAAAATTGCATAACTTCTCATTGATTTCAAATATAGTTTAATATTGTATACTAAAATTCCTTTTTGTTTCAACTAAGTACTCTCACATATATTAAGTTAATAATAATGTGTTATTTAAAAAATGTTGGGAAATAAGTGAAATACTGTGCCAGCAAAGCCAAGGTGGATATACATTAGGTTAGTGTGAGTGGATGATCAATCATTAGTCGTGAAGGTTTGTGGACACAGAAGAACGCCAGCTCTCATACCTCACTCCTCACTATGAGTCCTTGACCAGAGCCTGTGTGTGGCTTCAGGGTCTTTAAATGCTTCAGTGATTCCTTATGATTTCACTAAATCCAGGAAAAATGCCAAAGGAGGCCTTTTATGTACTGGGACATGCAGTCACCTGACTACAATAGGTAAAGTGAATTCTAACTTTAACATATATTATAGATAGAAATGCTTTGTTTAAGCCAGGAAAGGTTTTATATCTCACAGTCAATGATGGGAGCTTTTCATCCCTAAAAAAATAGCCCATAACCAATAAAGAAGTGATAGTTATATGCTGGACACATGATACAGTATCTGCAGCCCAGAGCACTTAAAGACCCTAGAGGAACGACCAAAGGTAGTGCTTGTTGTTGGGCAGCTGAAACAAACTAAACATCCCAATATGTACTGTGCACATCCTCCCTCCAGGTGCTTTCTTCTTCTGTGAGAGAAAGAAAGCTCCCCTGAGTTACTGCTCCCACTCAGATTACACACAAAAAAGGCTATTTCCAATCCTTGGCCTTTAAACATATCTAAATATTGGTACTTATAGTGGCATACTAGAAAGTAATAGCATAAATAGTGTGCATTTGAGGACAAATCAGGTTGAATCAATTAAGTGCTTGCTGTGGGTTAGGATTAGATCAAATGTAATAGCAGAACATAAGCAAACGTATCTGAATTCAGTAATGAACATACATGTTGCAGTAACATTAGAAAAGCATGGCAGCCCATTCCAAACCAGAGAGAATAGTTTGTGCAAATAGTGGGTCTTTGTGTGTTTGAACTCCCACCATGTAAGGGCAAAATGAATATGCATGCTAATGACCTAAAATTACCAAATTAAAAAAAGAAGAAAACTGCTAAAAGATGCCAGAGTGAACAGCAGGGAAAGCCACACAAAGACCCACTATCCTTGAACTTGTTACAAATAAATTTTAACGATAAATTAGAAACACAAAGAAATAATCACAAGTGGCTCTAACATTCGAACGAAGTAAATGAATTGTGTAGGAGATATTTGATCAGGGCTGCCTGCCCTGCCTCCACGCTAGAGTCAAACTTGGATAGTGGGTCTCTGGGGTGCTTTCACAACTGGAAGACAACATTGGGTCCTAAAAAAAGAAAAATGAGGAATAAAATGAACATAACGAAATTAGGTGGTGAGAAAAAATTTGACTAATAATAACATGCAACATCAACTAAATAAACTTGACCTATTAAAATTATCAACCTTAAAATGTTTAGTTATACAATAAAATGAAAAGAATATTGATAAAGGCTAAAGAATCATAAACAGTCATCTCGAATTTACCTGCTCTCAGTGCCTTTTTTTTTTTTTTTTGGTCTGGTCGTGGGGCCTGAACTCTGGGCCTGGGTGCTTCCCTCAGCTCTTCAGCTCAAGGCTAGCACTCTATCACTTGAGCCACAGAGCCACTTCCGGCTTTTTTTAAGTGCTTATGTGGTGCTGAGAAATCGAACCCAGGGCCTCAAGCATGCAAGGCAAGCACTCTACCACTGAGCCACCTTCCCAGCCCTCAGTGCCTCATATTGACTATAGCAAATGATTCCTTTCTATGTATCTAGGGAGGTTAAAAATCTCAAATACAAGGATTAATTATTTTTGGAATCAGAGCCCATGAAAATTATAGGCTTATATAAACTTGGTGAACAAAATTCAAAGCTGCCAATATAATTTTACTAAATTCTTCATTTTTGAAAACGTAGTTAAGGCTCTTCAGTGTCTAATAAATAGCTATTTCAAGCAAACACAACTGGTATTCTTCAGTTTTCTAAGTTGTTTTCTAGGAACAATAAACTTTTTCAAAGGAATCTACTTGAGAATTTTCCAGAGAATTACAGCTTTGAGAGCTCTTTTGTTACAAGATGGATGATGAACCTTTGTTCATTCATTTAGGCAAAACAAGAAAGTACTCAGTTTTCAGATATAATCAGACTAAAAATCCTAATATGTTAGCTAAAAAAGGTAATAGGTAAGTTGCTGGCAATTATTTTATAGCAAGAAGAAATATGAAAGTATTCCTATTTGAAACAACCTCTTGACTATTCTCTTTTTCTAACTCTCAATATGGAAATAATCAGGAAAACAAATCATACATTTTCCTACCCCCAATAAACAACAAACTTTTCAACAAACTATACCTACTTGTCTTTTTGGTCCCAGCTCAAATATAAAACCTTCCATGTCAAGAGGCCTTCTTTCCCCATAGAAGATTTAGGGGATCTTTTCCCAATACATCTGTGTGACTATTCATTACAGCAATTGTATTTGTTTGTCTCTTAACCACTAATCTCTGAAGCTACTTTAGAGAAGACAGTCTTAATATGTGTATTCCCAATGCCTGTAAATATATGGTGGACACTCAGAGAATACTTAGGAAGTGAAAAAATAGAAATATATTTTTATAAATCCAAAATCTAAAAAATAAAATGTGAAACACATGGACTCAGTTCCTTTAAAATTACTATGTAGGTCATCAATACTGAAAGACAACTTTTCCTTTTCTTCTTAGTTCTGTTTCAATACTGCAACTGATTTTGAAATTTCAACAACTCAAAACTGGTTGTCTTTTAGATTTGGGCTGTCTGATACAGCAGCTATCAGCCACAAATGACTATTTAGCTTTAAACCAACTAATTAAATAAAAAATTGAGCATGGTAGCTCTCATCTACAGGTAGACTAGGGCTCTGCCAGTCCTACTCATGTTAGAACAATAGATAAAGCATCCTTTGGTCAAAAAATATTGATATGGGGGAGGGACAAAATTTTCCTAAGTAGCCTAGGCTGGCTTCTTGCCTTAACCTCCTGAGTTCTGGAATACAAATGTACACTGCCCAAACTGGCTTGCCAAAAGTAATCTGCATAGTAAATGTGTGGGATAATTAAGTCATCTCAATCTACTTTCTGAATCGTTCAGCATTTATTTGCCATCTACTATTCAGTTAAAGAATAAAAAGTTCTCAACTAACTTCTTGGAGGGTTACTTTCCTAGAAGGTGATCACCAACCCTTCCTCCCTTCCTTCCTTCCTCTCTTTTTTTTTTTGAGGAGGGGGTCCTGGTATTGTACTTGCTAGGCAGGTGCTCTCCTGCTTAAGCTACCTCCTAGCTTCCAAGCACCTCCTACTTCCTCCATCACTATCTTGAAGTAGATTTTTCTAGAATAGTGTTTTTAAAAATGATCCTCAGAGGGGAAATTGAAGGGACTGTTACAGATGAGGCAGAGGAAAGCAAAGCAAAGCTTTCCCTTAGAACAGCTCTTATTATTTGCCTCATGTGACTTACCATTAGGCTTTACTGTTCTACCACTGGAAAAAAATAATTTTATTTATTTATTTTTGTTGGTTGTGGGGCTTGAACTCTGGGCCTGGGCACTGTCCCTGAGCTCAAGGCTAGTGCTCTACCACTTGAGCCACAGCACCACTTCTGGTTTTCTGGTGGTTTATTGGAGATAAGGGTCTCACAGACTGTCCTGCCTGGCTAGCTTTGAACCATGATCCTCAGATCTCAGCCTCCTGAGTAGCTAGGATTACAGGTATGATATTTTATTTTAAACTCATCACTTTAAATCACAGATGCTACAAAAGCCAAATGTACTGACAGGTTGGAATGATGTCAGGGGTCACTAGCCAAAAATCCTCAGACACAGTAGCTCTGAAAACACCTTCATCTTACAAGTCCAGAAAGATGTCAGATTAAACTGATTTCTAATTAATGACTATAAACTGCAAAACCATCAGCAGAGCATAAAAATGGCCATTCACCAGAGAACCAAGCTGTTACAATTTTTTTTGCCACTTCTCCTGAAACCCTCAGACACATTTGAGAATATTTACACCATAAAAAACCCTGGACTCCTTTTACCGCCAAATGGAAAAATTTAGTTGATTTATGTAAAGGAGTCTTTCTCATCCATCCAAACTATTTTTAAAGCTCTGATTTCAAAGCTCTAAAGTGAAAACATATAAAATTATTTAGTATAAAGTTGATAATCCTTGCACTGAATTATATATGTATTTATTATTACATTTTTACTACTGATAATCCATTGTATTGTTTCCTATCAACAAGCTATTATTAGAAATACATTATTCTGTTTCTAAATCTGTTATTATGAGAAACTTTGAAAATGGTTTTAGTACTCATCAAGATTTGTTTGTATTTTTTGTTTGGGTTTTTTTTTGTTTTTTCTTTTTTGGTACTGGGGATCAAACCCAGGATGTTGCACTTGCTAGGTAAGAGCTCTGCCACTGAGCTACATCCCAGCCCTTGTATTTTTTATCATGAGAAATTTCTAGAAGACTTACTAAGACATTGGATCTAAACATGTTGAGACCCTCAAATTGTTTTCAGAAAAAGTTGAATCAAATTGTATGTTACAGGTTCCAAGTTTTAGAGTATTCACTTTGTAGAAAATGGTGACAGCCTGATTAAATCAGATTATACTTTTATATTACTGTAAGAATAAACTTGTATACATTAAAATGGAAATATGTCTAAAATAAAATGTTAAATGGAAATAATATAATAGATATATTTAGTTTTGGCTAAGATTCCATTTATATGTTTTTAGCAAATTGATTAAAATGAAAAGCTAAGCTGGGTGCCAGTGGCTCATGCCTGTAATCTCAGAGGGCTGAGATCTGTGGTTCAAGGCCAGCCCACGCAGGAAAGTCCCTGAGACTCTTTACTAATTAACTATCTCCCAAAAAGCTGAAAGTGGTGCTGTGACTTAAGTGTTAGAGTGCGAGCCTTGAGTGAAAAAGCTCAGGGACAGTGCCCATGCCTTGAGTTCAAAGCACCAGGTTTGACCTCCTCACCTCCCCCCAGCCAAACAAAAAGGAAATGCTAAATGTTTTCAATAATTTCGCTAGTAAGAATCATGAATTTTTGTTAATAAATTAAAAACCAAAGGAGAGGAAAAAGTAATATTTACTCTAAAAAGGTAAAGAGTTATTTTTGAGTACTGTCCATTCCCTTATTATTATTATTGTTGTTGTTGTTGTTTTGGGAGCTTTGATTCCCTTCATTTATTATTAATGCTATATATCTTTCAAACCATAAAAAAAGGCTAAATAACTACCATGTGACAATAGCAAATTTCATACTTTGAGATTTGGACCACATTCTTGAAAATTGTGGCATAAAGCAACTATCTAAAGAATCACCTAACCAGCTGCCAGTGGTTCACACCTGAAATCTTAGCCACTCTGGAGGCTGAGATCTGAGGACTGTGGTTTGAAGCCAGTCCAAGCAGAAAAGTCCATGAGACTCTTATCTCCAATAAACTATCCAGAAAAAGCTGAAAGTGGCTCTGTGTCTCAACTGGTAGAGTGCTAGCCTTGAGTGTAAAGTAGCAGCCCCAGGATTGGGGGGAAAAATCATTTACTTCTGAGAGTTTCTGTAAACCTGTGGGAAATCAATATAAGGCTGAAGAATTAATAGCACCTACATACTGAATGGGTATTTTGACTAGATCAATAGGGCAATTATAGGACTAGCTAGTCTTCATTGAGCTCTAAAGGAACAAAGGCTGCTGAAAGAGGATGGTGGTAAAGGGAAGTTGCATAAACCAAAGAACTCAGAGAAATTACAAATAAATGCCAAAATCTGAAGCCAGCAAAAAAGTATGCTTTTGCAACCTAACTTTGACCTTGAGACCATTTTCTTACTTGAATCATTCATCTATATTTATTATGAGTGCTGAGTTCAAGATTGGAGTCAGCAGAGTAATACTGTATTACATATTAAAGTTTTCACATCAGATGAGAGATAAATAATTTGGTATTACTCACACTGTTGACTTGGGTCTGAGTCTGTCGTCATCTTAACATAGTTTGAAGGAAAGAGACCAGTCACCCCATTGATTTCTCCTTGCCACCAGTCAGGATCATCTTTGCTCATAACATTAATAAGTTGTCCCTTGGAGAAATTGAGCTCATCCTCATTATTTGCTACATAGTCATACATAGCAATCACCTGACATACTATAAAAAGGACAACAAAATAATACGCAAATTAATTATTTGTAAAGATCAACAGTATCCCGAGGATTTAAATTGCTATTATTAAATATTAAAATTAGGCAAAGTTTTCCTTGAGCTGCTCTCTCACATTCTCCTCCCCCATTCTGTCTTACAAAAATAAGAATTAATGAACTCCAGTTAAAATCCAAGTTAGAGCCAGCATTGGTGTCTCATGCCTATAATCCTAGCTACTCAGGCAGCTGAGATCTGAGGATCACAGTTCAAAGCCACACCAGGCAAGAAAGTCCGTGAGACTCTTATCTCCAATAACCCACCAGAAAATCAGAAGTGGCGCTTGGCTCAAGTGGTAGAGTGCTAGCCTTGAGCTGAAGAGCTCAGGGACAGCGCCCAGGTCCAGAGTTCAAGCCCCATGACAGACCAAAAAAAAAAAAAAAAGAAAATCCAAGTTAGCCAGTGCCAATGGCTAATGCATGTAATCCAATCTACGAAGGAGGCTGAGATCTAAGGATAGCAGTTCGATGCCAGTCCAGGCAGAAAAGTCTACAAGATTCTCATCTCCAATAAACTACCCAGAAGGGCTGGGAAGGTGGCTCAGTGGTAGAGCACTGGCCTTGCATTCATGAGGCCCTGGGTTCGATTCCTCAGCACCACATAAGCAGGAAAAAAAAAAAAGCCGGAAGTGGCGCTGTGGCTCAAGTAGTAGAGTGCTAGCCTTGAGCTAAAGAGCTGAGGGACAGGGCCTGGCCCAGAGTTCAGGCCCCACAACCGGATCCCTCCCTGCACCCCCCCAAAAAAAAACCCCAAAAAACTACCCAGAAAAAGCCAGAAGTGGCATGGTGGCTCAAGTGCTAGAGCACTAGTCTTGAGCACAAAGAGGCTCAGGGACAGCACCCAGGCCCTGAGTTCAAGCCCCAGGACCAGAAAAAAAAAAAAAAAAAAAAAAAAACCAAGTCAGCCAGGCACTGGTGGCTCATGCCTGTAATCCTTCATGCAGGAGACTGAGATCTGAGGACCCCAGGTCCAGCCTGGGCAGGACAGTCTGTGAGACTCTTATCTCCAATTAACCATCAAGTGGTGGAGTGCCAGCCTTTAATGAAAAAGCAAAAGGACAGTGCTCAAACCCTGAGTCCAAGCTCTAGCTACTCATTGGCAAATTTACCTGTTTTCTTTTGGCAGTACTGGGGACTGAACTCAGGGCTTTGCATTTATTGGGCAGGTGCTCTATCACTTGAGACATGCCTCCAATCCCTTTTGACACTGGTTATTTTTGAGGTGAGGTCTTGCTTTAAAACACAGGCTGGCCTGGGACGCATGCAGTCCTCCCACCACTGAGTTGTTACTGGTTGAGATGGAGTCTCTCAAACTTATTTTTTGTCCAGAATGGTCTCAAACTGGGATTCCTGGATATCTATATCCTAAGTAGCTAGGATAATAGCTCCTACACCTTGCTGGTATGTTTTTTTTTTTTTTTTTTGTCGGTCATGGGGCTTGAACTCTGGGCCTGGGGCTGTCCCTCAGCTCTTCAGCTCAAGGCGAGCACTCTACCACTTGAGCTACAGCGCCACTTCCGGTTTTCTGGTGGTTTATTGGAGATAGGAGTCTCACGGTCTCTCCTGCCCGGGCTGGCTTTGAACCGCGATCCTCAGATCTCAGCCTCCTGAGTAGCTAGGATTACAGGCGTGAGCCATCAGCGCCCGGCTGGTATGTTATTTTTAAGCAGAAGGAAAGAAAAAATATTTCATACCTTTCAAGAGTAGTTAGGTATGAAATACTTCATATCTTTGAGAGTTAGATAATCTAAGAAGTTACTAATTTTAACAAAGTTCTTTAAAAAGTGAAATAAAAGTCAACCCATTTTCATACCAGCATGGAAGGCAGGTGTGGTTCTTTCACTACTTGGACCCAAAAGTTTAACGTGGCTGGCAGGAAACCATCCCTTCTGCCGCTTTTTTCCTCTGGCCTATTAAATGAGCAAAAAGAATATACAATTCAAAAGATGAGATTTGAAAAGAATCATTGAGTTGTAACTTAAAATTATAAAACTCTTGATTATTTAAGAAAAAATTAATCTTGCCTAAACATAGGTCTCACCTCTGTACTTAGCTACTGGGATATAAGTTCTAAGTCCTTTCAATACCGATTCATAGTATCTTAGATTGCATGGGGGCCTGAAACTGAGTACAGCGATATGAATAATCAACCATTAATCAACCATGACTATGGAATTCCAGTAAAAACTCTAGATAACAAAGCTCCAGCAAGCTTTCCTGGTTAGCAATACTCTCTGTGTATTGCCAAAGATTATTGCCAAGAAGAGTTAAGGTTGTCCATGACTTTACTGGGAGAAAACAAACAGAAGTTCCCTTTGTAGAACCCTCCTGCACTCTGTCTCTGTGCCTCTTTCCTTGGCTGTCCTTTGTTGAAGTAAACTGTAGGTGTAACAGCTTTTTGGAAGCTCCATGTGTTCTTGTGAATTATCAAATTTGAGACTGATTTCAAGACCATCAAATCTGCAACTGGTTTCAAAAGTGAGGATAGCTGTGGGATCTTTAAAATTAGAAATGGCTCTCCAGGTCAACATAAAACTACTGGAAGACACATTGCAATCTGCATCTAAATGTGCTGCTGAAAATGCGATCTGCAGAAGACTTATCCAGAAGTCTTTCAGATTCAGAGTTCCTTCCCTCAGTATTCCACACCAATATTTATACTACAAAAAGATCTTCCTAGAATTCTCCTAATGTCCAAGTTAACCCTTCAATGGTATAGTCTACCACAAATATCTCTCCAAGTTTTGTTAATAATTAATCAGATTGACAGAAATAGAATGTGAGGAGCCATAAGTCCCATATAGTTGGTTCCAAAGTAAATCAGAAGACGGAAACTTAGAGAACATAATGAATTTAAGCCCCATCTGTTCTTTAGGAATCTTGACTCAAATTTCCCAGAATAAAGCTACATTTGTCTTTTATATTATATATCAATAAAAAGAACTATAATTTTCCTCATCATCTTTAAATCCTAAAATGCTTTTCAGTTTCAACTAGTGAGGGAATTTTACAAGTAAAAGAAGAATGCTTTATTTTGTATCAAAATATATTCAACAACTTTAGGTTAACATTTGAGGTAAAAAACTAGGGCCATGCCGGGCGCTGGTGGCTCACACCTGTAATCCTAGCTACTCAGAAGGCTGAGATCTAAGGATCGCGGACAGGAGAGACCGTGAGACTCCTATCTCCAATAAACCACCAGGAAACCGGAAGTGGCGCTGTAGCTCAAGTGGTAGAGCGCTCGCCTTGAGCTGAAGAGCTGAGGGACAGCGCTCAGGCCCAGAGTTCAAGCCCCACGACTGACCAAAACAACAACAACAACAAAAAAAACTAGGGCCATTACATTGACATTGTTCATTGAACTGTTTCAAAAACCCAAGACCACTGCAGGACAGTTAATGAGCAGTATTTTCTCAAGACACAGCCTGGGTAAAGTCTTTCTCCTAGCCAGTATACCATCTCCTAAGGCTATCCCTGGCAAGATGCTGCTGCTTCCCTTTTTGAAGGTGGTCTGTGGTTTAGTAAGGGATGCATTATTTAAAAAAAATTAGGCTTTTAGAGAAAAGTGCCTTTTAAGTTATTATTTTCAGTGCCAACATAACTGTGCTAAAATGTACAGACGAATTATTAAAAGGGAACATAATATATTGACTACCATTAAGTGGTACAGACTATGTATGAATAATTTTCTATTGATCTTTATTTATTTTTGTTGGTTGTGGGCCTGGGTGCTGTCCCTCAGCTCTTCAGCTCAAGGCTAGCACTCTACCACTAGAGCCACAGTGCCACTTCCGGCTTTTTCTGCTTATGTGATGCTGAGGAATCGAAAGCAGGGCCTCACGCATGTGAGGCAAGCACTCTACCAGAGCCACCTTCCCAGCTCTTTATTATCATCATCTCTTCTCCCTCCTCCTCTCTCTCCCCCTTGTCCTCCCTGCTGCTACTAGTGTTTTAACTCAGGATATCATACTTGTATGGCTGGTACTAATGCTTTAAGTCAGGACATCACACTTGCATGGCTTGCTCAGCTTACTTGGCTGGTACTAGTATTTTAAGTCAGGACATCATACGTGCATGGCTTGCTCAGGTTGCTTGTTTGGCTAGTACTCTACTACATTGCCCAGGCCTCTGGGTTGGCTTTTTGCTGATTACTTTATTCTATTTTATCTTCTTTCTTTATTTATAATGATGCTTTATTTGTGCCAGTCCTGAGGCTTGAACTCAGGGCCTGGGCATTGTCCCTGAGCTCTTTTTTTTTTTGTCGGTCGTGGGGCTTGAACTCTGGGCTTGGGCGCTATCCCTCAGCTCTTCAGCTCATGGCGAGCGCTCTACCGCTTGAGGTACAGCGCCACTTCCTTGCTGATTACTTTAGAGATATAGTCTCATAGACTATATCTATGTTGGTTTTCAACCACGATCCTCTAAATCTCAGCTTTCTGAGTAGCTAGGATGACAGGACTGAATCATTAGTGCTCCACTTGATGTTTTCATGAACATACATTACTATAAAAACATTACCTGTAACTCTCCTTGCCACCATCCACTTGTATTTTTCTTTAGGATTAATATTAACTGTCCTGGTGCAAGACTAAGTTGTTCAGCACCCGAAGCAACATATGCTGAAGTTACTTGAGCAATCTCTGAAAAGAAGAGAAACAATAATGAATTCAAGTCTATGCCAAATATTTTGGCAAAAATTTTCAAGGTCACTATTAAACATACCAGGTTTTTTGTTTGATGTTCCAGATTTGCTAGCATTCCCAACAGTCTACAAGAAAAAGATAAATTGTTTTTATCATTTCCAAAATTCCAGACGTAAATGTACAAAGCTTACTAGAAATGAATTAATCCTATTCTCCATGATTCTTTCTTTAAACAAAAGATCTAAAGAATCTCGCACTCAGGCGATCTGGTCAACAAGAAGTTGATGCTATTATCTACTCACGCCACAAAAAGAGCTCATTCTCTGAATCTTTCTGGGACAAATTTACCTATTGTTCAGTGGGTTAACATTGATGCTCATTACATACATTACATTCGTACATACACTACATATATTACATAGGTCCTAATGCGTGAAGGCATATGAGAGTTTTGCTCCTGTTATCCCTAAGAGATCCTGATTCACTATAGCTACTGGAGAAAGAGGGGGCACTTCTTATTTTGTTTCTTCCTAAACTGACTGATCATAATTTAAGAACAAAAAATTCAGACTAAGAATAGCCAATTATGGCTTCTGTAATTATTACCAACAGTGATGATATCTGTCATTGCCAGGTGCTCACACTAAATAAAACAAAGCTGGTTTCACTTAAGACTGTTCTTTTTTTTTTTTCTTTTGGGTCCGGTCGTGGGGCCTGAACTCTGGGCCTGGGCACTGTCCCTCAGCTCTTCAGCTCAAGGCTAGTGCTCTACCACTTGAGCCACAGTGCCACTTCCAGCTTTTTTCTTTTTGCTTATGTGGTGATGAGGAATTGAACCCAGGGCCTCAGGCATGCAAGGCAAGCGCTCTACCATTGAGCTACCTTCCCAGCCCAAGACTGTTCTTGATCAAAGAGTAGAAATTTGATTAAATCTTCATTCTTGAGTAAACATCTTTAAAAATTTATGTATTACTAAATAGATATGAGCCTGGAACATTTCTGCTTCATACAAAAATGTGATGACTATCTGAAGAAAAAGTATTTTTTTTTTTTGAGGGGGGGTCCGGTCGTGGGGCCTGAACTCTGGGCCTGGGTGCTGTCCCTCAGCTCTTTAGCTCAAGGCTAGCGCTCTGCCACTTGAGCCACAGTGCCACTTCCGGCTTTTTTCTTTTTGCCTATGTGGTGCTGAGGAATCAAACCAGGGCCTCATGCATGCAAGGCAAGTGCTCTACCACTAAGCCACCTTCCCAGCCCCAAGAAAAAGTATTTCTGTGATTAACTTGCAAGCTAAACTATTTTCATGAAGCAACACTGTGTGTGTATGTGTGTGTGTGTGTATGTGTGTGTGTGTGAGAGAGAGAGAGAAGGGCTCATATCTATATGCTAGCTACTCAGGAGGCTGAGATCTGATCATGGTTTGAAGCTAGCCCAGGCAGGAAAGTCCATGAGACTCTTATCTCCAACTAACCACCTAAAAACTGGAAGTGGAGCTGAGTCTCAAAGTGGTAGAGTGCTAGCCTTGAGCAAAAAAGCTCTGGGACAGCACCCAGGCCCTGAGTTCAAGCTCCATGAGTACCACCACTACCAACAAAGTAAAATGCTTGGGAACTTCTACATCATACCAGTCTACTGGCAGAATGAAGAGGAGGGACTTCAGACTGCAGGATGAGTCATATACATGATAGAGCCTTAAAGACTTACAGATTCCATCAAGGTAGTCCTTTATAAACTGTGCTGAATTTAGATTCAGCCCTAAGTTGCATTTATTACAAGCTTCAGGCCTACTTAAGTATTTTTTCTTCACATTTTATGATATCCTGAACCCCTTATCTTTCATTGGAGCCCTATAATAAAACCTGTACTAATGGAGCTACTTTGAGTGGTTTCCTTATAATGAAACCAGCCTGATTAAAATCAAACAATCAATCTGTTTTAAGTATGAATCCTGATCACAATGGGGTGATTTTAGTAGAAAATAACTCAACCTCTTGATCTTTTGGTTTGACATAGTTTGATGGAAAAATTCCAGTTCTATTTCCAATACTTCCTGTCCACCACTCTCCATCTTTCTGTGTCACAGATATTTCTTCACCTTCAGTGAAAGTCAAATCTCCTGGCTCAGCACTCGAATATGAATACAGTGCAATATAATCTGTAGTGAACAAAGCAAAAAGAGGTTTTAATGATAAGATTACAGATATAAAATGAAAATTACGTGAGTCACTAAGATCTTATGTAAGCTGATAGTATATGGCCTACTACCCAGGAAAATAAGAACTTAGAAGCAAACTACTGAATTGCTTAGAAAAGGGTTATTTATCATAAAGCTCATCTCAAGTTTCTTTTTTTAACTGCTTTGCTACCATTCAATTTACTTTTGTTACTATTTTTTTAACCACAAAAAAATGACCCCCAAACTACAAAGAGATATCAAGTATCTTTACAGATAACAAAACTGAGGCTCAATGAGACTGTCATCCATTAGATAGTGGAATTAAAACATATGTACTTTAAAAAAGCTGTTACGTAAAATACACTTTAATTTGCTAAATTACTTGTTCTTTAATTCTTTTAAATACACAATTATGGAAACATTCAATATCTAGCAGACAGCAACAGGAGCCAAGTTCTACCACAATAACCAGCTGCAGACTGTTAATGAGGGACTTCATATATATACGTATATATACTATATGTATATACATTTTATATTAATTTAGGATTTTGTTCCTGAAATTACTATTGCTTTGAGGACTCAGTTAGTGAATAGGTTTTAGAACTTTTTCTTATATTTACCAATATGTAATTTGACCTTTTATCATAAGCTAGAGATGATAAAAAATACCACCTACAACTTATTTGCTATTCACATTCCCGTATTATTCAACTTAGCTGACTAAACACAACTAAAAGTAATTGCAAGGTTTAGGTACATTGTAGTAAGGTCATTTCCAATATGCTCCTCACTAAGACTTTCCAGACCCATCTTACAGTACACATTTCATAGCACACCTATGGTTTCAGTCTCACTGGAGATCTCAAGTTCCCCTCATTTTCTACCCTCTGTCAAGAAATCTCTTCCCAGGTGGGTATGGTGGCTCACGCCTATAATCTTACGCAGGGGGCTGAAATCTGAGGAACATGGTTCAAAGTCAGACTGGGCAGGAAAGGTTGTAAGAGCCTTATCTCCAATAAACCACTCAGAAAACCAAAAGTGGCGCTGTGGCTCAAGTGGTAGAGCACTTGCCTTGAGCTGAAGAGAAGAGGGACAGTGCCCAGGCCCAGAGTTCAAGGTCCATGACCGACAGAAAAAAAAAAAAAATCTCTTCCCTTCCTTTGTTTCTTCAAGACATTCCATTCATTGTTTAATATAATGCCATAGTACTACTTCACAGGTTCTGCTCAAGTTTGAGACATTTACTCTCCTTGTGGAATATACCATCATCATAGGCTTATCCAGTCCATTCTACAATGTACTTTTTTCAGGATTTAACATCACATCCCAACTTAGTAGATACTGAATAGACTGTTTCATTTACCATTAGACTGATGTATGAAGAAAAAACTAACTTTACAACAAACCTGTCTCATTTATAAGTATGCACACACTAAATAAAAATATTGTCTAGGATTAGAATAAATAAACTTTCATATTTTAAATCACAGTAACAAAATCAAAACAGTTCATTAACCACACAGCCCAACAGGTTATAGAACAAAAACACAATTCAGGCTCATGCCTGTTATCCTAGATACTCAGGGGATTGAGGTCTGAGGATTTCAGATCAAAGCCAGCTAGAGCAGAAAAGTCCAACTAATCAGCAAAAAAACCCCAAATGAACAAAACAAAAAAACGCGCCCCCCTCCCCCGCAAAAAAACAAACAAAACCAAAAGACCCCTGAACTGGAGGTATGGCTTGAGTGGTAGAGTGCCAGTGTGAGCAAATGCTTAGCAAGAGTAAAAGGCCCTGAGTTAAAGACCCAATAGTGGAAAATAACCAAAACCAGAACCTCACAATTCTTTGAAATATTTGTGATAAAGAGTACCTTCATATAAAATTCTACTTAATAATTTATATGCCACATTATAATTAAATACATTTACAAATGTACACTGAAATTTCCTTTCTTCCTGAATATCTGTAAGTTTAAAAAAAAGTTTAAATTATAATCTTATAATCTATGCGGAATTTTCATAGTACTGATTTTCTAAAACTGCCAATACTCCAGCCATATTTTTTCTGTATCTTTTATAGTCATATGAAATAGACAGGGACAGGATTCCCTAACCTCACAAACTCTGTGACACTGAAACAGGGAGAATGGTCACGTGTGAAGTCAAATAACTGAGTCTTATCTAATTTACAAATTGCTAAAACTTACCTTCTCCAACTGGACAGGCTGCAGATACAGGTTTCTTACTTACAGCTGCATATAATGCTTCTGGTCTGCCAAATAAATACACAAGTGAAAGATAAGAAAGAAAGAAAAAAAAGACAAAAAACAAGAACAACAACAAAACCAAGATATTTGAGAAATACAACAGATTTTAGTTGTGCATTCTTCTAGGATTTTCTCAGAATTTTAATAAAGCTCACTTATTATGAACACTTTCATATACCAAATCATTCTGGATGAAGAATTGTCTAATTATAAATTGCTATATTTAGTTTCAATATAACAATAGATTGTCAAATTGTGAGATATTTTGCCTTCCTGAAGAAATTTAAAAGACACCTGCACATTAGTAAATGGCAATCTTGGTAAAGGACCTAGAGGTATTGGCTTAGTTTAGGGAAAAACCAGGACAATATTGGTAAATTTTATTATTTGTTCAGAGCACATCACATTTTAAAATATATCTCAGAACAGGTGTAACATTAATTGCTTTGTTAATCCAGGAAGCTGTCTTCAAAACTCTGGAAGACTGTTTTAAGAACTAGTCACCTGGGATGTACCAGGGTTTCCCAGAAAATCCATGAGTAAATCATATAATGAGGCAGTTTGCAAGTCTATACAAGGTAGACTTTATTAAACTTGATGGCCATGGTGAATGGAATTGTCTTGTTTAGTGCTGAATTCTCTATTACTAGGCTTTACATTTTTGTTGTTTTGGTTTGTTGTTTGGTTTGGTCTTGAACTCCTGAGCTCAAGTGATCTTTCTGCCGAAGCCCCTGCACAGCTGAGACCACAGGCATGTGCCACTGTGCCTGGTTGTACTGCAGGCTTTCAAGTCACATTAACTTGTCTCTTAGCATTGGTAACTGATGGAAAGTTAGAAAAAATATCCTTTAAAACACTTAAACTTCCTCTTGCTAAAGTTTTATTTTCTGTAACATGTTATGAATAATAAATAAGATAATTTTGCCGGGTGCTGGTGGCTCACACCTGTAATCCTAGCTACTCAGGAGGCTGAGATCTGAGGATCATGGTTCAAAGCCAGCCCAGGCAGGAAAGTCCGTGAGACTTTTTTTTTTGCCAGCCATGGGGCCTGAACTATGGGTCTGGGCACTGTCCCTCAGCTCTCCAGGTCAAAAATAGCACTCTACCACTTGAGTCACAGCATCACTTCCAGCTTTTTCTGCTTATGTGGTGCTGAGGAATTGAACCCAGGGCCTCATGTATGTAAAGGCAGGGCCTCATGTATGTAAAGGCAAGCACTCTACCACTAAGCCACCTTCCCAGCCCCCTCCACCCCCCACTTGTGGCTCATGTAGTAGAGCGCTAGCCTTAAGCTGAACTGCTCAGAGACAGCCCAGGTCCAGAGTTCAAGCCCCATGACTGACAAAACAAACAAACAAAAAAAAACGAAGTAAGATAATTTCTTGAAGGGGCCTAGCACACAGATGTCAGCTACATATTTTTGTAACTTTTTTTTTCGCTTGTCCTGAATCTTGAACTCAGGGCCTAGGCACTGTCCCTGAGCTTCTTTTGCTCAACGTGAGCACTCTACCACTTGAGCCACAGTGCTACTTCTGGCATTTTAGTGTAATTTACTGGAGATAAGAGTCTCATGGACTTTTCTTGCTGCTGGCTTCAAAATGCAATCCTCAGATATCAGCCACCTAAGTAGCTAGGATTATACACCAATGCTTAGCTTTTTTTTGTCGGTCGTGGGGCTTGAACTCTGGGCTTGGGTGCTGTCTCTCAGCTATTCAGCTCAAGGTGAGCACTCTATCACTTGAGCCACAGCGCCACTTCCAGTTTTCTAGTGTTTTATTGGCGGTAAGAGTCTCACAGACTTTCCTGCCCGGCCTGGCTTTGAATCCCAGATCTCAGCCTTCTGAGTAGCTAGGATTACAGGTGTGAGCCACGAGTACCTGGCAGCTTTAACTTTTATTCTTTCCAAATTTTCATATCAGTCTGAAAAGTAAATTTCTGCATTTGTACTAAATAATGATAGATACTCAGTACTGAAAAGGTTATTAAATTTAACCTTTTCATTCAATCAATTAAAAAATCTCAAGACCAAAACAGGTTTCTCCTTATGGAATGACAAAAACAGAACTAGAACTTATTGATTGCCAAGAGCAGTACTTTGCATTGTGTTAGACTGCTTTTCTATTTAGATCAACTTTCTTGTTAAACACATGAGACAGTTGCCCATAGATACTTTAGAGTACTTATTTCCTTGTAATAAATACATTTGACAACTCGACTTCCCTGAACACTGGAAAATAAAGGCTAGATATCTCAACCTGTCTAATTTTTGGCTTTCATTCATTTGATTGTTTATTCATTCACTTCTCTCCTCATTCATTAACCTAATATGATTTGGTATTAAGATGCATTAATATTATACAAGGGCTGGGTGCTGGTGGCTCGTGCCTATAACCTAGCTACTCAGGAGGCTGAGGGGATTGGGGTTTGAAGCCCAGCCCAGGCTGGAAAGCTCATGATACTCTTCTCTCCAAAGAACCATCAAAAAGCTAGAAGTGGAGCTGAGGCTCAATAGTAGTGTGTGATGTCTTGAACAAAAAAAGCTCAGGGATAGTACCTAAGCCCTGACTTCAAGCCTCAATACTCACCCTCCCCCCTGCCCCATACACACAAAAAGATTATACTGAGTATGAGGAACTGGAGGTGTGGCTCAAGTGATAGAGCACCAGTGGTGGGCAAAAAATGAGATTGTGAGGTTGAGTTCAAGCTCTAGTAATACATATACACATGCACATACACATATCATGAAAGAGATGAAAAGCACACAACAACAAAGACATGGGTATCATTTACACAGAGCTTAGGACCTAATAAGGAATATGGATAAGACAAGTCAATAAGTATACTGTCATATGCTATGAGCAACAGAGGAGTTATGTCCAAGGAAACGTAGAGGCTCAGATATGGGAATGGTCCAATTTGGCAACAAGGAGAATTTCAGTAATGAATTATAGTCTAGGCATGGTGGTTCACATCTGTAATCACAGCTACTTAGGAGGCAGAGATCAGAAGGACTGTGGCTTAAAGCCAACTTGGGCAAAAAGTTGGCAAGATGCCATCTCAATCAATAAGGTGAACTTTGTAGCCCATACTATGGGCGATTATATATGAAAATTATGGTCCCAGGCTCATCTTGGACAAAAAAAAATAGAAACACTAGCTGAAACTAAGAAGATACAAAAGGGTTGGAGTCATGGCTCAAGTGGTAAAGCAAATGCTAAGCAAGCATGAGGCTCTGAGTTCAAACCTCAATACAAGAGAATCATAAGTCCGAAGGGAAGCTTGGGTAAAGTTAGTGAGACCTTATCTCTAAAACAAAATACAAAAAATTTATTTTCAATAACTAGTATATCTCTGAGACAAACAGAAATGGTCAGACAAGTTGATGTTAGATGAAATGAACCCCAAGATAAGGACTCAAATGGTTTTTCTTTCTTGCTATTGTTTCTAACATATTTATAAGAAGATTTCTTTGTTGCTTTGTATGTCCCTCCCCCACAGTATAACCCGTTTTCACTTTGTATTTGACGTAGGTATAATTTGTGGAGGGGAAGGGAAAAAAACAAATTGTTTAAATAGGGATACAGGTGGACCCACTGCAACAATGAGATGTACAAAATGTTATGTCGAAAAATGAACTTTATAACTTTGGGGGTAGGGGAAAGATGGGAGGGAAGGGATGGGAAGGGGAAACAAAGAAGGAGGCAAAAATGCTTGATAAGAAATGTACTCATTACCTTGCTCATGTAATTGTAACCCCTCTGTACGGTATTTTCACCAGTAAAAAAACCTTAATAATAAAAAAAAATAAAAAAACAGAACTGGGATCAAGGCTTAAGTAGTAGAGAATTTGCCTAGTATGTATGAGGATCTAAGTTCAACCCTTAGTACCACAAAGAAAGAAAAAGAAAAAGAAAAAGAATATTGAAAATTTAAATATAGTACTATAGTACATAAAAATCTAAGTATAGGACTTTGAAAATTATGAATCTGAAATGAATATAATAAAAGAGATTTTAAAGCAGAAACACACATCTGTTGTTTTTCTAGGCTAGAAATCACATTTCTAATCATATCTTTACATTTAAACCAGAGCTACTCATCCTGTGGGCTGGATTATCAGTGGAAACATGAACATCCACACCTCCTGTAAACACACAGAGATACTTACTCTTCCCGCTTTACTTCACTTCCAGGAAGGATCTTAACGTAAGATTTTGGAAACCATCCTCTCCCTCCATGCACCTCTCCAAACCACCAATTTTCTTGCTGCTCCAAGACGGTAATAATGTCATGTTTTGAGAAGTTCAAATGGTTCTCTTTCTTTGCAGTCCAGGAACAGAGAGCCTGTGCTTTCAGGTTTTCTACAGCCTGTCCCTATAAATAAGCGGCCACCGAAATTGAAAAACAAAGTATAATACTCATGAGTTCTATTTACTAACACATAATATACAAGTTCAAACAGTAGACCATTTTGTGTGGTGGTGACTTAACCTACTAATCTAATTGACTTAAAATTCTATATGCCCACAACCATGAAAGTAACCTTCTTGATCACTTATATTCTAAGGAATTTACATCATCACTGGTACAGAAGGTGAACAGTGAACACTCTATGAAGTATTCATAGGTCCACCAAAGGTACGCCATACAAGAAAGAAATGAGTTACTTTTCTCTCCTCCAGCTTCTAATACTATTAATCCAACTGCACTTGATTCAGTTACCTGACTTGCAACAGATGTGGTTAAGCACAGTCTCACTCAGCGTTTAGTCTCTTATTTTTGCTCTCTTAATGAAACTAAACTCTTCACTTAAACTGTAAATATTATTACACTCTCATTTCTAGAAATGTTTTGTACCATTAAGCCCTTTTTTTTTTGTAGTCATGGGGCTTGAACTCTGGCCCTGGGAGCTGTTCCCGAGCAATTCAGCTCAAGGCAAGCAAGTACTCTACTGCGTGAGCCACAACACCACTTCTGGTTTTCTGGTGGTGAATTGGAAATGAGTCTCATGGACTTTCCTGCTCAGGCTGGTTTTGAACTGAACCCAAGATCTTCCTATCTCAGCCTCCTGAGTAGCTAGGATTACAGGTATGAGCTACTAGCACTTGGCTTTATGCCAATACACGTGTGTGTGTGTATGTCTTAGGCTTGAACTCAAGGGTTGGGTGCTTCCCGTGTGTGTGTGTCTTGGGCTTGAACTCAAGGGTTGGGTGCTTTCCGTGTGTGTGTGTGTGTGTGTGTGTGTGTGTGTGTGTGTGTGTGTGTGTGTGTGTGTGTGTGTGTGTGTGTGTGTGTGTGTGTGTGTGTGTGTGTGTGTGTGTGTGTGTGTGTTGGGTGCTTTCCGTGTGTGTGTGTGTGTGTGTGTGTGTGCTTTCTGTGTGTGCTTTCTGTGTGTGCTTTCTGTGTGTGTGTGTGTCTTGGGCTTGAATTCAAGGGTTGGGTGCTTTCCCTGAGCTCTTTTGCTTGAAGCATGCATTTTGCCATTGAGCCATAGCTCCACTTCTGGCTTTTTTGTGGTTAATCGGAGCTGAAAGTCTCAAGGTCTTTCCTTCTAGGCTAGCTTCAAACTGTGATCCTCAGATCTCAACCTCCTGAGTAGCTAGCATTGCAGGCATGAGCTTTTGCAATTGGCTTTTGCAATTTCTTTTTTCTTTTTTTTTTGGTCAGTCATGGGGCCTGAACTCTGGGCCTGGGCACTGTCCCTCAGCTCTTCAGCTCAAGGCTAGTGCTCTACCACTTGAACAACAGCACCACTTCTGGCTTTTTCTGCTTTTGTAGTGTTGAGAAATCAAACCCAGAGCCTCATGTATCCTGCAATTTCTTTTTAATAATATAAATGTAGCAATATTTACAATGGGTACCCTAAATTAGAGGTGCATATACATAACAAAGTACCATGTCTTCAATGACTTAAAGGGAAAAAATTAAAAACCAAGTTCAAATCTCTTATCTTCCACTTGATGTTGAGAATGAATTGAAAATCTAATATTAATCATTCTTCAACTTGACATCCTATGTAAAAAAAACACACACACACAAAACCAGCAACCAGAAATTGGATGCTACAATCTCATGTTAAATAAGTAAATGAAGCCTTTATATGAAATCTTCATTCAAGTCACATAAATCAGGAGTAAACTCAAAGAATAAAGCAAACAAAAATTAGAGACAACCTACCTGTCCATGAATAGGTGATACAGATCCAGGGGACACAGTACGAGTAAAAGCTGATTTTTTCTGCCATGATGTATTAACAGTTAAGTTTGCAAAAGATACATTTTGATAATCAGCTGCAGATGCTGGTTGATTTGAAGAAAGCGGTCTGCAAATATAACACTGCAATGTAAGTATACTTAATAATTAAAATGAAATAAAGTACTAATTATATATCCTAAAGTGGGAAAAATTCATAAACAAATAATTGACTTATGATTTCATTTACTAAATTCCAATATTAAATTTAGAATCAAGGGTGCTCTTGGAAAAGTCCAGCTCATATTAATAATATGACAAAGGATCAGGCTGATCTAAGTATGCACTAGCATTTATACACTGGCAGAGATATAAAAAGTCTGGTGTTAGCTTAATACTTACTCAGAAGAAGTTGAGGTAGTAGTAGATAAAGATACTGTAGGAGGAAGTAAGGCCTTCTTAGGAGACAGAGCTTTTTCATTTGATGGCATTTTTTCTACATAGTTGCATGGAAACCAACCAAAATTTCCTTGAAAACTACCATAAAACCAACCAGGTTCTCCTACAGTTTTTTCATCAACCTATGGAAAAAGGAAGGTTAACAGTGCTTCAAATTGATGCACTTACAATAGAAAGAGAAGTAGACCAATATATTTTATTTTTGGCTTTAGAATTCAGTCCATTTAACTAAATAGCTAAGGTGTTTCCTACAAATTATTAGGTTGCTATTTCTAGTTACTAACAAATTGTCTTTTATTGTTGTTGTTATTATTTCATGGGACTTGAACTCAGGGCCTAGGTGCTATCCCTGAGCTCTTTTACTCAAGGCTAGCACTCTACCACTTTGAGCCACAGTTCCACTTCTGGTTTCTGAGTGGTTCGAAATAAGAGTCTGGCAGGAACTTTTCTGCCTGAGCTGGCTTGAACTGTGATTCTCAGATCTCAGCCTCCTGAGTAGTTTAGGATAATAGGCATGAGCTTCTGGCAGTTGGCAACAAATTATCTTTTTAAATTTAAATTTTATCTGATGTACGGAAACAGTTTATAAAGACAATCAACATCACACATAATATTTCTTCCTCTTATTTCACTCCTATCTTGGCAGAAACTACATTGTTAGTGTCTTATTTTTTTGCCAGTCCTAGGGGACTGTACTCAGGGCCTGGCACTGTTCCTGAGATTCTTTTGCTTAAGGCTGGCATTCTACCACTTGAGTCACAGTACCACTTTGGCCTTTTCTGTTTATGTAGTACTGAGGAATCGAACCCAGGGCTTCATGAAGGCTAGGCAAGCATTCTACCACTGAGCTACATTTCCAGCCAATAGTATCTTCTGTACTATCTTCTGTACTTCTAACTGCCATTTATAGTGTTGTTTCTTAGATTTTTTTTTCTGTTTAGACTATTGGCTTTGGATTGTGGGAAAGAAAGATTCATCTATTACTAAATCTCTTGTTTTACCAATATTGCTATATCAAAAGTTTTTGTTAATGTTATTTTGTTAGTGTTTAGGTTATTAGGGATATATAAATATTTCCATCTGAGTTATGTAGTATTCTGCTCACCACATTTGCTTCCATTTTTATTTTCCTACAGTTAATAATTGTTTTATTTCTGTTTAGTTTTTTTGTTTTTTGGTTTTTTTTTGTCAGTCGTGGGGCTTGAACTCTGGGCCTGGGTGCTGTCCCTCAGCTCTTCAGCTCAAGGCAAGTGCTCTACCACTTGGGTCACAGCGTCACTTCTGGTTTTCTGGTGGTTAATTGGAGATAAGAGTCTCATGGACTTTCCTGCCGAGACTGGCTTTGAACTGCAAGCCTCATATCTCAGCCCCGAGTAACTAGGATTATAGGTGTTAGGCACCGGCACCCAGCTAGTTTTTTTGTGCTTTTATTACAGAATTTTCTTGAACTATCTAACAGAGCTAGAAACTTCTAAATGCTACTTTTAACTTGTAAAACATCAGGTGATTTACTAATTGCATCTTTTTCTAAACATTTCCTTTTTGCAGTACATAAGCCTCTACTAACCTCAGTGTCTCTTGCTCTTCTTCCTAGTTTTTGTTTCTTTTTTTTTTTTTGGTGGGTCATGGGGCTTGAACTCTGGGCCTGGGCGCTGTCCTTCAGCTCTTCAGCTCAAGGCGAGTGCTCTACCACTTGAGCTACAGCGCCACTTCCGGTTTTCTGGTGGTTTATTGGAGATAGGAGTCTCACGGTCTCTCCTGCCCGGGCTGGCTTTGAACCGAGATCCTCAGATCTCAGCCTCCTGAGTAGCTAGGATTACAGACGTGAGCCACCAGCGCCCGGCAAGTTTTTGTTTCTTAATTGCTGATGGTGTCTCAAGGTTTCACTGGTGGCTTTCTTGCCTCATGCTATGTACACTTCCTGAATAAGCCCACTTGCTCCTACCATTTGATGAGTCCTGTATGCAATAATGAATCCTGAAACTCTCTAGGAAGAAACCCACTCTTTCTATCTTCTTTTCTTTTTTTTGCCAGTCCTAGGGCTTGAACTCAGAGCCTGCATGCTGCCCTGAGCTCCTTTTGCTCAGGGCTAGCACTCTACCACTTGAGCCACAGCACCACTTCCAGCCTTTTCTGTTTAGGTGGTAGTGAGGAATTAAACCCATGGCTTCATGCATGCCAGGCAAGCACTGTACCAGTAATCCACATTCCCAGCCCAGAAACCCACTTTTAAACCTGCAACTCCTGCAATGTATCTAAAACTGAATTTTCTATGAAAACCTCCAACTCAAGTCCAATACAACTTTTTCTTCTATCCAATCCTTCTTAATACCTTCTACTATTCTTACCATCAATGACTTAATCATCTAAAGAAAAATATCTTGCCAGGCTCATGCCTGTAATCCTAGCTACTCGATCTGAGATCTGAGGATCACAGTTCAGCCCCAGCAGGAAAGTCCTTGAGACTCTTATCTCCAATTAACCACCAGAAAACTGGAAGTGACTTGAGCTATGGCTCAAGTGGTAGACCACTCAGCTTGAGCTGAAGAGCTCAGGGACAGTGCCCAGGCCCAGAGTTCAAGCCACATATCCGACAACAAAAAAACAACAAAAAACCCCCCAAAAACTCTATTATGCTTTTATAGTCAAAGTCAGCAGTCAAACTGAGTTCAGGCCCTAGGACTGGAAAAAAAGAAAAAGAAAAGAAAAAGAAAAAGAGTAGGTTTCTTCCCAAAGAGTTTCACAGTCAAACTGCTGACTTTGTCACTAAAAACTGCTTTCAATTTTCCTCAATCTCATTTTTTGCAGGCTGTTTCAATTCATATCTAAAATTACTGCAATCTTTGCTCACTTTCAAGATTCTATTAACACCCCTAAGCCAGGCCAGAGTTATACCAGCATAATCAGTATTGCCATATTCTATTATTGCTCTACTTACACCTGTTCCACCTGTCTGTCTTTTTATTGGCTCTATCTAGCACACTAAATATCTGCTTATTTCAATGAACAAATAAATCAACTGTGTCTCCTTGCCACCTTTTCCGTATCTGTCTAAAACACAGATCTGACAGTGGTATATCATGTAATACATTAAGATTTTTAATAACAGCCTATTGAGGTATAAATAACCTAAATTTTCATGTTGGAGATGGCAAGTCTTGTGAAAAATCACCATAACCACAATAAAGAACATAACCATCACTCCTCATCTTTACCAGTTTCTTCTCGTTCCATTTTAAACCTTCCTCTGGTTTCTCACCACATTTCCTGGCCTACTTTATGTCACTTGAGATTAGTTTGCATTTTCTAGAATTTCATGTGAATAAAATCATGCAAAATGTACCATTTTTGTCTGTTTTTTCACTCAACATCGTTATTTTGAGATACATATATGTGTAGTGAGGAGGAATTATTTTTCATTGCTGAACTATTATTATTATTATTATATTATTATTTTGTCAGTTGTGGGTCTTGAACTCTGGGCCTGGCGCTGTCCCTGAGCTCTTCAGCTCAAGGCGAGTGCTCTACTACTTGAGCCACTTTTGGTTTTCTGGTGGTTAATTGGAGATAAGAGTCTCATGGACTTTCTTGCCTGGGCTGGCTTTAAACTTTTATCCTCAGATCTCAGCCGCCTGAGTAGCTAGGTGTGAGCCACCAGTGGCTGGCTTGTTTGTGTTTTTTATTTTAACTGTATATATATATATACACACACACACACACACACACATATATATACATATATACATATACATATATGTATATATACACATACATATATGTGTATATATATATACATATATACACATACATGTATATATATATAATTTTTTGGTCTTTTCTTTTTTAGTACTGGGGGTTGAACCCAGGACGTTGTACTTGCAAATCAAGTACTTGCCACTGAGCTACATCCCAGCCCCTGAGTAATTATGTTGTATGAGTACTGTATAATTTGCTCATCCTTTCACCTGTTGATGGACATTTTAGTTGTCTCCAGTTTTTAGCTATTACAAATAAAGCTCTATAAACAACAACATCGACAAAATGAATAAAAGCTGTTATGAGCATCTGTCTTCACAGACATATGCTTTCTTGGCTAAATATCTCTAAGAGTGGAATGGCTAGATCACACTATACTTGTATGTTTAATTATTTTATTTATTAATTTATTTATTTTTGTCAGCTGTGAGGCTTGAACTCAGGACCTGGGCATTGTCCCTAAGCTCTTTTGCTCAAGGATAGTGCTCTACCACTTTGAGCCAAAGTGCCACTTCTTGTTTTCTGGATGGATTTGAGCCGTGATCCTAAGATCTCAGTCTCCTGAGTAGCTAGGATTACAGGTATGAGCCACTGGTGCCCAGCAATGTTTTAATAATGACTTATTGAGTTATAATTTACATATCATAGAGACTAAAATCCCAATCTGTAGATTCTAAAGCTTGTTCTTATTCTGACTTGACTAACATGATTTCCTGTATTTTCTCTTATTTATCAATTTTATATGGATTGTGAGCATATAAAAAAATCCTTTGTTCCAGGAGCACATCCAGTTAGGGATGCAGAACCTAATTCCTTCAACTTTTTTAACAGCTGCCTGAAAATAACCAACCCCACAAAATGTTATTATTTATCTATTTGTTTGATTTTGTGCCAGTCCTGGGACTTGAACTCAGGGTCTGGACACTGCCTTTGAGTTTTTGTCTCAAAGTGAGCACTCTACCTCTTGAGCTCCATCCACTTCCAGCATTTTGGTGCTTAACTGGACATAAGAGTCTCACTGACTTTCCTGCTTACACTGGTTTTGAGCCACACTCCTCAGATCTTAGCTTTCTGAGTAGCGAGGATTACAGGCATGAGTCACTGGTGTGTAGCTTTTAGTTACTTGTTTTAAAATATATTTTAAAAGTTTCTAAGCCTTTGCTTAGAGAAACAGGCCAGGCTGGGCACCGGCAGCTCATGCCTATAATCCTAGCTACTCAGGAGGCTGAGATCTAAGGATCACGGTTCAAAGCCAGCCCGAGAAGGAAAAGTCTGTGAGATTCTTATCTCCAATAAACCACTCAGAAAACTGGAAATGGCACTGTGGCTCAAGTGGTAGAATGCTTGACTTGAGCTGAGGAACAGCGCCCAGGCCCAGAGTTCAAGCCTCATGACTGACGAAAGAAAGAAAGAAAGAAAGAAAGAAAGAAAGAAAGAAAGAAAGAAAGAAAGAAAGAAAGAAAGAAAGAAAGAAAGAAAGAAAGAAAGAAAGAAAGAAAGAAAGAAAGAAAGAAAGAAAGAAAGAAAGAAAGAAAGGAAAGAAAGAAAGAAAGAGAAAGAAAGAAAGAAAAGAGAGAGAAAGAAAGAAAGAAGGAAGGAAGGAAAGAAGGAAGGAAGGAAAGAAGGAAGGAAAGAAAGAAGGAAGGAAAGAAAGAAGGAAGGAAAGAAAGAAAGAAAGAAGAAAGAACGAACAGAAAAACAGGCCAAATCTTTCTGTTTCATAGTACTTTTTCAAAAAACTTCAAATCAGTGTGTATTTTTATTTGCTTAACTATTTTTCTAAAGGAGGATTAATATGTTTCTCTCTCTCTTATTCATTGCCATTTGCTATAGTTTAATCTAAGTCATTAGTATTACACCTACACTATTACTAACAAAGATATCCAGGATCAAGCAAGACCTGTACTTGATGTGTGTCTTCAAGACTTGATAAGTCTAATTTTTGTACTAACTGCATGTGACTGTCATTCGTCATTCACATTTTCTTGAACCTACATTAAACAAACATGCTTAGTATAATAATTTAAAACAATTATTATAAATAATTAAGTCCCTTTATTACCTTTTTTATCTTAAAGTTAGCAAACGTACCTCTTTCCAAAAAGTCTATGTCACTTAATCAGGGTTTTTAGATTATGAGCTACTCCATCTTTGCTCCACATTGCCAGTTTCTTCTCTTAAGTCTCTGGCCAGTCCCTACTTCTAATATGTTCTTTCCATGAAATGAAAATTAAAATGAATTTTTTTACAATACAAAGCAATATGCAGAGAGGAAAGAACACTTGCATCCCAATCTGCCAGTGAGATGCTGGCTATCATAATCTGTGTGATTTTCAGTATTGTTCCTTAGAATGTGGTAGGAATAATAACTGTCTTCGGCAGCTTTGAGGTACATTGCAAGGGTCAAAATGAGATGTTAAAAAATATAAGTGTAAAACTATAATCAATATTATAATATATCACAATGTGTTACATTCAGCTTACTCATAAGGGAAAAAAAGCCATAATTTCTTACCTGAATTATATCCCCAGAATTAAAACTCATCTCATCATGGCTCCTTGCTTCAAAGGGGTATAATGCTCTATAATTCACCAAAACATTAGATGTCTCACCTAAGGAGAACATAAATATTATAATTTCTTCTTCTGTTTTATATATCTGTGCTATGGCTTAATATAAAGCTCTTAAAATCAAAAGAAGTAGAGTGCTTGCCTTGAGGGGAAACAAAGAAACAGAATTGTGAGGTCTCGAATTCAAGTATCAGTACCAGTATGAGTGTATGAGCTCTCTCTCTCTCTCTCTCTCTCTCTCTCTCACACACACACACACACACACACACACACACAATATGAATGATAAAAACTGAGCATCAAATAGTAGAATGAATCTGATACAGACTCATTAGGATTTAAATATATTGACTAGTCATATAATTAATATAAAGAAAAGAAGGATTTTTTTTTTTGCTAGTCCTGGGGCTTGAACTTAGATCCTGGGCACTATCCCTGAGCTTCTTTTGCTCAAGGCTAGCACTCTACCACTTGAGCCACAACGCTACTTCCTGCTTTTTTTTTTTTTTTTTTTTTGTCGGTCGTGGGGCTTGAACTCTGGGCCTGAGCGCTGTCCCTCAGCTCTTCAGCTCAAGGCAAGCGCTCTACCACTTGAGCTACAGCGCCACTTCCGGTTTTCTGGTGGTTTATTGGAGATAGGAGTCTCACGGTCTTTCCTGCCCGGGCTGGCTTTGAACCGCGATCCTCAGATCTCAGCCTCCTGAGTAGCTAGGATTACAGGCGTGAGCCACCAGCGCCCAGCTCTTCCTGCTTTTTTTGTTTACATGGTACCAAGGAATTGAACCCACGGCTTCATTCATGCTAGGCAAGCACTCTACCACTAAGCCACATTCCCAGCCCATATGCTGAAGCATGTACATGGATCTAAGGGATAGGGAAGGAGTAGGAGCCAAATGGAGTTGGACAAAGAAGAAGACTAAGTGCAAAGAGATGTGATTTGATTTGTGACGGTCAGAAGCACCATCATGTAGGTCACAAATGAAAAGATCAGTAAGTAAATAGGATTAGTTCTAAGGAACAAATAGTGTTCACAAATTTATTAAATGATAAAATTTAAAATATTTTACTTTGTTTTTGGATAAATGCTTTTACTTGTAAAAAATCTGAACACACTATCATTATAGTGAATACACTATATTATTATCAACAGAGAATATTATTAAAGTATTTTAGAAATGGACTGAGGTCTACATAAAGGTACATCTTCTGAGAATATTTCAATGTGCAAAGACTTGAAAACTATGCCAAGGTCTTTTTGTTAAGTCAGTTATAACTCCCTTCTTTTCTTCTGCTGTATTAAGATTTCTACACTCAGTCTTTTCAAACTTGAAATACTTTTTTCAAATTCTAAGATCTTTCTATTTCTTCTTTTCTTTTTTAAATCTCCTATCAGATCTCTTTACTTATTGTTTTTGTTATGCTGCCTTAGAAAAAAATCCATCCTTACTTGCTTTCTCTTCAGCTTTTCGTTCCTCTTCTTGAAGTTTTTCTTGCGTTTTTTCTTCCTGAAGTCGCTTTTGCTTTTCTTCTTCCTCTTTTCTAAGATTTTCTCGCCATAAGTTTTCTTTTCCTTGCTTAGCTTTCCTTTAAATAAAAGAACAAGACTTTGTATAATGTTCTAAAAATTGTTTATATTATACAGAATGAAAACCATAATAGAAAATCTGGCTCCTATTAGCCAGAAAACTAGCATAAAGTATTCGTTGGGGACGGGGAGAGAAACAGCAGTGTTCATGAGTGAAGGGAACATTAGTCAATCAAGAGGAGCCTTGGATTATAAGTGATCTACAAAGTATGACACCTCCAGTCAGCCATCTCCACTTCCAGGAAAAGAGAATTAAGTGGATATGAAAAGTTCAGCAAGTAAATCTAAAACTCCTTCCCTTTTACACTCTTTATAAAGACTCCCTCCAGCTTTTATTCCTTTTCTCCTACCTCATTCCTGTTTAGGAGATTAATTCACAACTGTGAAATGGGAAATGCTTTGGGAAAGGCTAGTTAGCTTTTATATTATCATCTCAAAAGGCCTTTGCATTTGCTTTGATAATAGAGCATTTCTACTTTGTAGGTCATTGTTAAGGTTTGAAGTTGAATACATGGTCCCCAGCTGGTGGCACCAGTTTGAAATACGATGGAAAACTTTTGGAAGTAGGGCCTACCTGGAGAACATAGAGGGCCTTTAAAAGTTATACTGGGTCCCTAGTCTCCTACTCCCTACTTCTAGTCACAAGGACAGATAAACAGCTCTCCTCCACCACACACTCCTACAGCCATGAAATTCGGCCCAATCACACAGGATCCAGGAACCATGGATTGAATCCCCTAAAATCATGAGCCAAAAGAAATCTTTCCTCCTTTAAATTATTCTCTCAGGTATTTTAATTATAGTTATGCAAAAGTAGCTAATACATTCAAGCTTCTGTATATGATTTTATGACATACAACAATAAGATCTGTGATAAAACTTAAATTATTTTAGCTTGTAAGTATACACAGTATACTCCTCCCTTGCATGTGTTTGTGTGTATGTGTGTGTTCATGTGTGAGTGTGTGTGTCCTGAGGCTTGATCTCGGCCTGGGCATTGTCCCTGAGCTTTTCTGCTTAAGGCTAGCACTCTACCACTTGAGCCACAGCTTCACTTCTAGGTTGTTTTCTGTTTTGGTTTGGTTTGGTTTTGGTAGGTTGTGTGGCTTGAACTCTGGGCCTGGGCACTTTCCCTGAGCTCTTCAGCTCAAGGCAAACGCTCTACCACTTGAGCCAAACACCAATTCTGGTTTTCTGGTGGTTAAATGGAGATAAGAGTCTCATGGACTTTCCTGCCTGGGCTGGCTTTGAACCGTGATCCTCAGATCTCAGCCTCCTGAGTAGCTAAGATTACAGGTGTGAGCCACCAGCGCCCGGCTACTTCTGAGTTTTTTAGTAGTCAACTGGAAATATGAGTCTCATGAACTTTGCGTGTGCCTCAGATATCAGCCTCCTGAATTGCTAGGATTACATAGGCATGAGCTACTGTCACTCAGCTTCTTGCATGCATTTTTATGTCCTCACTCAGGGAATAGTGACCACAACTAAATTTATACCTTCCCCAATACTCAATACTATAGGGGAAGTAGACTGTGGCTAGATACATCTTTGAGACTGAGGTAAATGTATACATCATTAAAGTGGTAACCTTGGCTTAATTATAAAGTTCTATCCGTAATTTCTCTGAAGGAATTTGGAAATCCTAGATAATGAAAAATATTGTAGACTTTAGTACTAAAATATTTTTTTTTTTGGGGGGAGAGGCTGATACTGCGGCTTGAACTCAGGGTTTTATATGCTCACTTGGCTTGTGTGTGTGTGTGTTTGTATGTGTGTGTTTAGTGCATGCCAGCCTTGGGGCTTGAACTCAGGGCTTGGGCACTGTCCCTGAGAGATTCTAAAGCCACCGTGCCACTTTTGGCTTTTTCCTAAGTAGTTTATTGGAGGTAAGAGTCACATAGATTTTTCTGCCTGAGTTGGCTTCAAACCATGATCCTCAAATCTCACCATCCTGAGTAGTTAGGATTATAGGTTAAGACCAGCGCCCAACTCTCATTTGGCTTTTTCACTTGAGTATGTCAGTCTTCCACTTGAGCCTCACATCCACTACCACCTTTTTGGTAGCTAATTGGAGGTTAGAGTCTCATGGACCTTTCTGCCCAAGCTGGCTTTGAACCATGATCCTCAGATCAGCCTTCTAAGTAGCTAGGATTCTAGGCATGAGCCACCATAATCTTTTAATTCATAAAATAGTTTATATTTTATACAATTGGTAATAAACCAATATTAGTATTAGTTTATTTCCAAAATTTCCATATCCTCTATTATATCAGAGGATGCTTCCTCTGGAAGCTTTAAGTTGTTCTTGAAGACAAGGCTTTTCTTGTAATCCTAATGTAATTTTAACTAACAGTCACTTTTCTAGTTCCACTGTGACATTCTGTAACACTCTCCCAAACCTATGATAGCTCTTCTGTCCTTTGTGTGATTTCCCATACAATTATACACAACCATGATCAGATTACACATTTTCAGATTACACAGTTACATATAAAGGGGCGAAGTAAAGACCACAGAGTTCATTAAATTCTGATAAAAATTCCAAAGCAAGAGAGGGGGGGAAAACTGGTCCAGCACCAGATGATGCCTCACAAGGGCAACAAAAGGCCAAGGAGACTATATTGCTACATCTACAATGTGAAAAACCAGACTCTTACCAATAGCTTGGGAGAAAAAGGGAAGGAACCTGGGAAAATAGCCATGCAAATCAAGGTAAAATACTAACACTCAACTTTGAACTGTTAAGATCCTACATATCCTACATGTTACTTCTGTTCTCTTTGATTTCTTCCCTCCACACGGTAAGAAAATATGCAAGCATGAATGATGAAAGTATGTATTACTAATGCAATCTGTTGGCTGAGAGGAACTGTGTGCAAGATGAAGAGCTATCAAGATAGCTGCTTATGTCAATAGAAAGTCTGAACAGTGTCTACCTATGTAATCACGGTAGTTCCTTTGTGAAATGTTAATTATATTAGCTTATTTAATACAATTCCCCATAATGAATACAATAAAGTTTGCTTTTTCAGATGAAGAAACTGAGCTTCAGAAAGATAAAGTGCCTTAAACCAAGGTTATCCAGGTAGTAAGTGGTAGACTGAGAATTCTAATCCATGTCTGATTCCAAAGTCCAAATTTTATGTTAAGAGCCATAAAAATGGTCTCTGAAAACTTGGTTCCTAAGAGGAAGCTTTAAGAAGCAAAGTTTGGAAACTGATTAACATCTTAAAATAATCCTCTTATTTCCCTTAAGTTTTCATAGCGAAACCAAAGCAATGTGAACAAAATTAGAATTCTAATAGCAATAAAGGATAAAAAAATATGAATTACATTACCTTGCAGCTTCATCTTCTAGTTTTTTTTTCTGTATTAGCTCTACTCTTTTCCTTTCAACTTCCTTCAACTTGTCATGTTTGATCTTATGAAGTTGTTCAAGAGCTAACTGTTGTGTATTATAGCTTTCTCTTAGTTCCTAAGGGCAAAACAGAAATATGTCAATACTCAAATGATTTAAGTATTTTATTTAATAACTGTCATTTATATTAAAAGACAAAATCCTAAAATTAAAAATATCTAGATGAGTCGGGCACCGGTGGCTTATGACTACAATCATAGCTACTCAGGATGCTGAGATGTGAACATCATGGTTCAATGCCAGACAGGGCAGGAAAGGCCATGAGACTCTTTTCCAGTTAACCACCAGCTCTCCTTGAGCTGAAAAGCTCAGGGACAGGGCTCAGGCCCAGAGTTCAAGCCCCACAACTGACAAAAAATAAAATAAAGTAAGAAAGTATCTAGATGATAAAACAATCTTGAACACAGTAAATATCTGAGCCATGTATTTACTAAACAAACATTTCTAAGGAACACAGAATCAATCTCTCTCTCTCTCATGGGGCTTCAATTCTGGGCTCGGGTGCTGTCCCTGCACTCTTCAGCTCAAGGTGAGTACTCTGTACAAGGTGAGTTCTTTTACACTTGGGCCACAGCGCCGCTTCCGGTTTTCTAGTGGTTTATTGTAGATAAGAGTCTCACAGACTTTCCTGCCCAGGCTGGTTTTGAACCGTGATCCTCAAATCTCAGCCTCCTGGGTAGCTAGGATTACTGGTGTGTGCCACAGGTACCTGGCTGGAACACAGAATCTTTAACAAACCATTTTTTTTCTGAAGTATCATTTTAGTTAAAAAAACCCAACAATGTATTTAGTAACATTTAAAGAGGAATTTTCTTGGTAATATTGGGATTTGACTTAGGAGTCTTGTGATTGTTAGGCAGGTGCTCTACTGCTGAGCCATACTTCCAGGCCCTTCTTGCACCAGTTTTTCTTGAGATAGGGTCTTATTTCCTCCTGGAGATCTTCTTCATGTGCCTGGGCTGAGATCAACCTAGGAAACAGGTGGCCGCTGTGCCCAGCTCTCTGTTCACAAACTTTTCTGCCCAGGCTGGCCTCAAAACTTGATTTTCCCAATCTTGGCCTCCCAAGTAGTTAGGATTACAGGAATGAGCCTGTAATATATGTAGTTTAACCAAGTTATCAGTAATTTGTGTTCAATGAAATCCTAAAAATAACTCTTTTATGTATTTATTTTCAGTCATAGGGTTTGAACTCTGGGCCTGGGTGCTGTCCCTGAGCTCTTCAGCTCAAGGAGAGTACTCTATCACTTGAGCCACAGCACCACTTCCAGTTTTCTGGTGGTTTATTGTAGAAAAGAGTCTCACGGACTTTCCTGCCCGGGCTGGCTTTGAACCTCTATCCTTAGAACTCAGCCTCCTTAGTAGTTAGGATTACAGGCATGAGCCACCAGTGCCCAGCTTTGAAACATTTATTAAACCATTTTGTCCAAAACTAAAAATGGAAAAGATAAATGTCTGCCTAAAACAATGACTTAAATTAAGTCAGAATAATGACAAGCACTCTAAAAAGGAATTGAAATATACTTATTGAACATAAAATTGTGTACAGTTCCCTAACCCAAGGGGATTCAATAAAAAGAGCTGCCTAATTCCCATATAATCCTTTGCCATCAATCTCAAAAGTAGAGCTAGGTGCCTAAATGTAGGTTAAAGGTAAGTGCTCTAGTAGGAAACTTGTGATTATCCGTTTGTAGTTCACTTTTCACCTTCTTTTTTTTTTGGGGTGGGGGGGACTGGTTGTGGGGCCTGAACTCTGGGCCTGGGTGTTGTCCCTCAGCTCTTCAGCTCAAGGCTAGTGCTCTACCACTTGAGCCACAGCACCACTTCCGGCTTTTTCTGTTTATATGGTGCTGAGGAATCGAACCCAGGGCCTCATGCATGCAAGGCAAGTGTTCTACCACTGAGCTACCTTCCCAGCCCCACTTTTCACCTTCTTTTTATTGAACTATTCTTGTGGGAAACTGATTCTCTACCGTTGTATGTGGTTTGAGCAGGGGAGGTATTTATTTACTCTTGAACAATCATAGTACGTTACTTCCTTGCTCAGCGTGATTGGTCCAAAAAATATGAACATTCCAAACTGGTTCAGAATTTTCTTGGGATTCAGATACACTGAATAACCTCTGGAGAAAGAAACCTTTCTCAGGATTCATTAAACAGAGACACAGTCAACCTAAAAGGCATCTTTAAGTAATGGGAAGAAAGTACAGAAAACAGAAGTAAAGATCAGAGACAGAGGTGGAGAAGGAACACACAAGGAAACTCTGCAGCTCAGTGTTCAACATTCTTCTGTCCATTCAGTAAATTGTTCTAGTATTCCTCCAATAACTACTATTTTGAACTGGATTACTTTCACTACAAATCTTATAGAATCTTGAAGGAAAAATACAGAAAGAAAAAAAAAAACAAGTTTAACAAAAAAAAAAAAAAAAAAAAAGGGAGGCAAAAATGTGAGCTCCATAGCATTTGAGTAGAATGTTTTAGTAAAAAGGAAAAAAAAAAGGGTTTGGTATCCAGAACTACACAACAGAAAACTCCAAACCAAGGCAAAAAACCCCTCCAAATCAAGGCAAACAATGTATTTGAAGGTTAACTCTTCTAGTATGGTTAAAATGGTACATTAGAGCTAAGTATAGTTTGGTGTCTGGAGACTGTCTAAACATATTTGAAGAAAACACTTGCAACTTGAACCAATATTAGTACAATGCTGTGTTCATGAAAAATTTTACATAACTTCAGCTTCTACAGTCCTATATTTGTTGCATTGTTTTGGTCAGTAGTGGGGCTTGAACTCTGGGCTTGGGCGCTATCCCTCAGCTCTTCAGCTCAAGGCGAGTGCTCTACCGCTTGAGCCACAACGCCACTTCCGGTTTTCTAGTGTTTATTGGAGATAAGAATCTCACAGACTTTCCTTGTCCGGGCTGGCTTTGAACCATGATCCTCAGGTCTCAGCCTCCTGAGTAGCTAGGATTACAGGCATGAGCCACTGGCACCCGGCTTTGTTGCATTTTTCTATGGAAAAGCAAAAGAATATATTGACTATGATCCATGCAACAGGCTGCTTTGGTGTTCAGGAACATGGGTTTGGAATAAAACCACGGCAATTCAAATCAGGCTCTGTCAATGGCTAGTTGTAATTATCTTAGGAAAATTTTTATAGTTTCCTAATCTGCACATGCCCTACATAGTTGCTGTGAAAATAAAATGAACTAATACATATAAATTGATTGCAATAATGCAGGCCATAAATTCTCAATAGATATTAGCTGTTAGTGGATGAAGCCCAGTAAGAATATTAAGTTAAAAAGGGGTACAGGGCTGGGAAGGTAGCTCAGTGGTATAGCGCTTGCCTTGCATGCATTAGGCCCTGGATTCGATTCCTCAGCATCACATAAGCAGAAAAAAATAAAAGCTGGAAGTGGCACTGTAGCTCAAGTGGTAGAGTGCTAGCCTTGAGCTGAAGAACTGAGGGACAGCGCCCAGGCCCAGAGTTCAGGCCCCACGACTGGACCCCCTCCCCCCCCAAAAAAAGGGTACAAAGAGCAATCAAATTAAAGTCTAATCTTAACATGGCTGTAAGCTTAGTCCCCTAATTGACCCCTGAAGACAGCATTCCAAGTATTCCTTAACTAGTCTCAAGGAAGTGTCAGAATTAGTGAACTGCTCATTGTCCCATGCTCCCAAGGAGGTCTGTGCACCCCTCTATCATAGTCAACCTTTCCAAACTGTATCTGACCTGTCTATCAGAGTAATTTTTTTTCTGGTTATTTGGAAATAAAGTCTTTTGGACATTTCTGTCATGCCTCCTGTTAACAGGACTGTCTTTTATCAAGATGTCCCAGGCATAGTACAGTGTAAATATTTAGTTAAGTGTTTATGGGAGGAATAAAATACATAAATAACAGTCTAGGCAAATTAAGATTTGAAGCACACTAAACACTAAAGGCATATTCTTCTGGCAGAAGATAAATACATCCAGATGAAGCACAGACAGAGGAAGGAATAAGAATGAATGCAAAACTACACATCTTAATGAACATGGGCAGTATAAAGTAGTGACAAAAATGGCAGTTTAAAATATATAACATAAGGTGGAAATGTGGCTTATTGGTAGAGTGCTTGCTTAGCATGCATAAAGCCCTGGGTTCGAATCCTGTAAGCCTGTAAGACTCTCATCTCCAATTAATTATCCCCCAAAAAAGCTTAAAGTGAAGCTGTGGCTTACATAATAGAATGCTAACTTTAAGCACAAAAGCTCAGGGATAGCACCTAGCCCCAGAGTTCAAGCTCGCTGACTGGCACCAAAAAAAACCCCCCAAAACAAACAAAAACAAAACCGCAGACAACATAAATGTGAGAAGCATTTGATGATAATGGAATTAAAGAATCCTGAGTAATAAAATTTTAATTTACAGTACATGTAAATAAAAGTATGCAAATTGTATTCTTTAAAATACCCACAAAAAATGTAAAAGGTATATAACCAATAAGCTATAGAGGAAAAAGAACTCTGATCAAAAGAGCACAAGGAGAAAAAAAGAATACAACATAGTAAACTGATAATAAAGAGAAAGATGTCAAAGTCCAAATTATATTAAACAGACCAACTACTCTAATTAAAATACAGACTGAATATTAAAGACACAATTTAAGTATAAAGATGTAAACAAGGTATAAGGTAGAAAAAGATATACCAATACTACTCAAAAGAAAGCTAGTATAAACTAATATCAGAAAAAGTTGTCTGTCTGTCCCTGTGTGTGTGTGTGTGTCTCTCTCTCTCTCTCTCTTTCTCTTTTCGAGACAGGGTTTCATTATGTAGTTCACCTCAAACTCACTAAGTAACTTAGGCTGGCCTTGAACTTGAGGTCCTTCTACATCAGCCTTCCTAAATGGTAGGATTAGAGTCTTAAATAATCATGCCAGGCAGAAAAATTAGCCTTTAATACAGGAAGTATTTCCAGGAGAGCAGTGTAATGATAAAGGGGTTTGTCCACTGGGAAGCCACATGATATGTATACAGTAAGAGATCCTCAAAATCTATAAGTTAAAAAAAAA